AAATTGCAGGTTGTGGGGGATTTTTGGGATCCTTTTGCTGAGTTTATGCAAATTGCAAGTTGTGAGGAATTTTTGGGATCTTTTTTGCATCATATTTCCTAACTATTGTCTAAATTATTTTAATGTTCAAAATGGAAAGAACATCGCCGGCGATGGAAAGAACAGAAGCAGTGACCGATGGGCAAAGAAGCAATTTTTAGTGGGTTTCCATTTGTTTGGTTAGAAAATTGTACAGGGTATTTGGCTACTAAGAAATGGTTTCAATCTATTTTTTGGTGGTTTTTTGCAAGTAACGTGGAACCCATTAGAAGGGCTTCGGTGCGGGAAGATGACATCTCATCAAAAAAAGAAAAAAAAAAGTCCAGATCAGCATCTTTTTAAGTTGTTTTCTCCATGTCATAAAAAAAATATAAAAAACGCCACGTGGTGGAATTAACGGCCCAAATTGACAGAAGGACAAACGTTGTGCATTTCTTAGAGTTGAGGGATAAAAAATGGCTTAATTCAAAAAAATCATCTACTAACTTTCAGTTTAATTTCAGTTTCATCTATTATCTTTGAATTGTTTCAATTTTGTCTATTATCCTTCACATTTATTTCAATTTCATTTAGGCAGTTAATGTTAACAAAAAATCTTAACGGAAATCTTCTTAACTTTAGTACTCTAACTATGTTTTTTTTAATCTTTTAGTCCTTAAATTTATATTCACAGTAAAAATAGTTTTTATTCTTGTTTTGCTAAATATGTTTTTTAGAAAATTGTTTTACAGAGCAGACTGCATTCAGTCTACCTTATAAAATTATTTAAATACCCTTAATTCTATTTTTATATTATTTTTTATGAACATTTAAATAATTTTATAAGACAGATTATATATAGTCTGTCTTATAAAACAGACTTATTTTTAAAATTTTTTATTTTAAACTTATTGAATTTCTCTGTTTGAATTACAATCTATATTTATAAACTATTTTTTGATTCATCATATTTTATTAGGATTTAAGTGTCACTTTTTTAAAACTCAAAGGACTGCTCTTTCCTCAAATCTAACGGCAATCTAACGTCATCTTTGTACACGGTAGACTAATTTGAAATATTCTTCAAAGTTTCTAGACTATTTAGAAATGAAACAAACTTTGTAGACTAAAATGAAATTAAACTGAAAGTTAGTAGATGATTTTTTGAATTAAGCCGATAAAAAATATGCACAAAATACTTTAGGAACCAAAAATGTGCAAACCGATAAAGTTGAGGGACCAAAATGAGCATTTAACCTTTTGGTTATAGAAACTATAGTGCCTTTCGGTGTGCTTGACTACT